GTGCGTGCGTGTCGTGTGGTGTGTGTGTGTGTGTGTGTGTGTGTGTGTGTGTGTGTGTGTGTGTGTGTTACTAACTCATGTTTGTTTGTGCATGTGCTTTTGCGATACACACATATGAACATACACACATATAAGCTTCTGTATGTGTGTGTTTGTATTTGTATGTGTATTTGCATTAGTATGTGTGTGTTTGTGCGTATGTAAGCGTGTATGTGCATATGTACGTATGTGGATACCTATATGAATTTTCTAGTGTGTGCGCGAGCGGGAAAAACTTTTTTTTCTAACCTCTTTTCTTATCTTTTTGCATGTAATCGTATTTTTCAATTCCATTTCTTTCGACTTTTTCCAAAATGTTTTTCTTATCTCACTCGCAAACTTTATTTTCACTTTTTTATTTCTTATCGAATCCAGCCTACGATGGAAATTCAAGTTCGTGTAATTCCATTGCATTTTTTCTTTTCCTTTTTGCATTTCGTAAATTTCAGAAATCAAATAAATGGCATCATAGCCTCCGGTCATGTATGACATTCTCTAAAACAGAAAATAAAAAAAGAGATAAAAGAGAAATAGAAAAAAAAAGGAGAGAATGAAACTTATCCTCCATTCTGTATTTCTCTACCGTTCAGCAATGCAATTCATATTCATATTTTCTTATCTACGAACCAAAAAAAAAAACACAGAAGAAACAGTAAGAAGAAAAAAGGGAAAATGTCACATCATTCCTTTCATTCATTCCCGAATTTTTCTACTCGTATTGCCTCTCCCTGCCCTTCTGCATTGGTATGTTGGGTGAAGTGTGTGTTTATTCCCCTTCTATGTGCTGGGGCGGTTGAGTTGTTGGTTGCAATAATCCCATTTCCTGTGATTTTGCAACTTTCTATTCAAATTTCATTGTTTTCCTTTCGGGGAATATTCCTGGTATTCATCCACTATACACACACAGACGCACATATATGTGTGTGTGTGCGTGTGTGTGTGTGTGTGTTGTTTTGTGTGTGTATATATATACACATACATACATACATACATATATATATATATATATATATATATATATATATATATATATATATATATATATATATATATATATATATATATATTATATATAT